CAGGAGGATGGTGGTCCCTAAAGCATCCTTATCTCCCTAAATCCACACAGGGCAGCTGGTGGATGCTGCCTGGGGGCTCAGGGCTGTGTGCCCTGCTCTGGTTTTGGGGGGACCACGGCAAACACCCCAAAAGCCTCTCCTGTGGGTGCCACATCCCAGGCTGGGATCCTGTTTGCCTCTCCAGGTCCCCACCCATGGCTGGATTTGTGGTGTGTGCACCAGCGAAGCGTGTTTCCATGTTGGTACAGGCAGGAAAATTCCCCAAATTCACCCCCAGCCTCCTTTTTTCCCCCTCTGCTGGGGGGGTCATGCTGGCACCCCCTCCATCCATGGGATCCTCACCCACTCCCCTGCCGAAACACGGAGCTGGAGAGGAAAAAAAGGGATAAATTTTGGAAAGAAATGCTTGACACTGCTCAGAATTGGGCAGGGGGCAGCTAAACCAGGGCCTCTCCATTCCTCCCCTCATCCCGTTATCCTGAAGCTGGACCGGAGTGTTGGAGTGACAGGGTTGGGATGACGTCGCGGGCTGTGATGGAGCTCACCCCTGGACGAGCAGGAGCGGTGCCAGGGTGCGGGGGGGGACACAGAGGTGCCATTGGAGCAGGGGGGGACACAGAGGTGCCATTTATTCCCGTTTATTCCGCAGGTGGCCGGGCCCGGGGGGTAGCCGTGCCCGCCCTGCCCCCTCGGGCCGTTCCCCCTGCAATAACGAGCTGTCTGTCTGCATAAAATAGTCCTTTCTGTGAAAGGATCTTCCCGTCGGGGGCGATGGGAGAGCCAGTGACTGTGTTGCAAAAGGAACAAAGAGAAAAAAAAAAAAAAGAAAAAGAAGATAAAAAAAAAACCTCAAGGAAAACTGTACGAACTTCTCCCCCCCATACACACACCCCGGAGCGAAATTCTTTTGTACCAATGAAGTTTGTTGTGTGCCTTTCGCGGTACGGCTGGACGTGACAATAAAGTGACATTTGTTTGCATCGCTTTGACTCGTGGAGATCTAAAACGCTCCCAGGCTTAAGGGAGGGGCCTGAATTTAAGGACACGTCGCGTTTATTGTGCTCTCCGCTCCGGCGATCCCGGCTCCGGGGAGCTGGTTAAGGCAACTCCTGCCTCGGGCGGGGGAATGGGTGGGCTAAGCCTTTCAGTTCTGATTTTTGGGGTGATTTTTATGGAAGTGGCAGCCAGGTCCAGCGCTCTGGAGTTGTGTGGAGGTGCTGGGGGAGCTGCAGGAGCTCCTGAAATAAGTGGGGGTTAGGGGGTATCCATAGTAGGGGATGTAGATCCTGTGCTCCTCGCAGCTGTGCTTCCCGAGGGGATGTTCAGAGGGGTCCCCAACTTGCAGGAGTCCTGGGATAAAGGGGTGAGCCCCTTGTTGTGGAGCTGGTTGGGAAAAGCCTGTCCCCAGAGCCCCCAGTCCTGCTCCCCACCTCGGGCAGGGGAACAGGCAGGAGTGACCAGTGTGATGAGTGAGTCCATCCTCTGCCGGCCACGCTCCACCCCTTTGATCTCATTTTCTCCTTCCTCCTCTTCTTGGAGCAGGCTCTCCTTAGGGACAAGAGGATGAGTGTTCGGGAGCAGCAGCCAGGTGAGTTTTCCCAAGGGAGGATCCTAAATTGATGTTTTTGTGTGAACCACCTGGTGTGTGATAGAGGGTTTGTGCTGCTTTTCTCCTCCACGACACCCAGGAGCACCATCCCATCTCCCACTAGTGCTAATTAAACTCCTCAGATCATAATTAGCCAGCCCTTTTCCTTGTGATTTTGCCAGTTTTTGCTGATCCTGGCATCTCCTTCCTCCAGCCAAGGAAAACTGTTGTGGATGGTACAAACACCCACAGCCTTTCCGTGTCCCCATTCCCAGCTGTCAGAGCTTCTCTGGATCCTCAGTGTATTTATCCTCTCCCAGGGAGAGGGTGTGGAGTGACAGGACAAGGGGGAATGGCTTCCCACTGCCAGAGGGCAGGGTTAGATGGGATATTGGGAAGAAATTCCTGGCTGTGAGGGTGGGGAGGCCCTGGCACAGGTTGCCCAGAGAAGCTGTGGCTGCCCTTGAATCCCTGGAAGTGTTGCAGGCCAGGTTGGACGTGGCTTGGAGCAACCTGGGCTAGTGGAAACTGTCCCTATCCATGGCAGGGACGGGGATGAGATGATCTTTAAGGCCCAGACCATTCTGGGATTCTATGATTCCATGAAGGTGATGAAGAGCCTGTTCTCCCATGGAGAGAAGCTTCTGGAGTGGTTTCTCCCAGTACAAGCCACTGTCCTGTGGGCCTGGATGCAACCATGCCCTATTTTAAGGCTGAGGGGCCTGGGAGCACGGAGCATCCCTGGATTCTGCCTGCTTTTGCTGTCCATCCCTCCAAACATCCTGGGAGAGAGATGGGGATGGAGACATGGGGCTGTATCCCCACTGCGCCCCTCCCCTGGCACCCTCAGCACCCACAGCACCAGGAGCATCCTGTGCCTTTTCTATGGGCTCCAAAAATAATTGCATGTTACCAGAGATTTCCCTTTGTCCTCTAAAAATACCCCCTGGCCCCAGCGAGGCGGGCACTGACCGTGGCCGGTCTCGATGCCTAATTGCTGATTTCTGCTAAGACCCGACATTTTCGGGGCAGGAGGGAGGAGCACGAGAGAATCAGCAACTTCTGGGAGGGGGACTGCATTGTCTTCTGCTAAGTATAGCCTCCAGATTTCAGCCCTGGCCTGAAGAAACCCCTAAATTTTCCTAAAACCAGATGTGGAAGGGTTTTTCGGATCAGCCAGCCCTTTCTCCCCAGGGGTGAGGAGGGGAGGCGGCTCTTCCCTCCCCATGGGCTGTGTTTAATAAAGGCTAAATAGGAATGAATTTAATGAATCCCCCTCCCTTTGATGACTCGGCCTCCATTTCTTCTTCATCTTGCCACAGGAGAGGTCTCCAGGGGAGGGAAAGGTCCTCCAGTTCCCATCCTGGTGTGTCCCCAGGCACCCACGCTGGCCTTTTCCCTGGGATGCTCCCGGCTGCTGCTCTGAGTTGCCATTTCACAAACTTAAGCTCTGACAAAAAGGCTGCACTTGGGCCACCTCATCTCCACTCGTTTCACTTCCAGACTTTGCACCTCCCGTCACCATTTGGTGGCAGCCGGAGAAGCCGAAGACTTGGGATTTGTAGGGCGACGACACAGGGAAATGGCACCTTTATGGAGCCAACTGCAAAATGCACGATAAAAAAAGGGAAATGTTGCAGTTGCATCCTTAATTTATTAGTTAATTTTGCAACCAGATCCAAATAAGAGCCGCTTTTTCCTGCTGTTAAGCAGCGATGGCTGTGCCGGGGCGGGTGCCTGGCACGGCATCCTCCTTTTATCAGCCCTTCCAAAACAAGCTGGACATACCCACCAACACCACCCCAATCAGGCACCAATGACTAATTGGTGATAATTACAAAAATCCCCCGTGCGCTGGTGTGTTTTTCAGGGCGTTTTTGGCACCCTGATATTATCACCGGTTGCAGCAGTTTTAATTAACGCGGCACCTGCACTGCATTGGGGTCAACGTGTAGGGGTGGGGGCATCGTGCCATTGCCAGCTCCGTGCTGGGTGCCAAGGGGTGCCAGGGAGTGCCAGTGGGGTGCCAGGGCTCCAGGGACAGCTGTAGGCGGGGGTTTTGGGTGTCGGGGTGCCGTGCCAGGGCCGAGCTCCCGCGCCCTGCTTGGAGGCCAGCGGAGGAAATCAGTCATCGAAGGAAATCAGTCATCGAGTGTTGCTGTGGAAACGGGAGGGGAAACTTGGTTTGTGGCAGCCAGTGCCTCCCTGCCGGGAGCCCTGTGGAGCCTGGCCAGTGGAGGGGTGACACACAGCCCACCCCCCCCCCGTGCCCACTGCTGGGGCCCTGGGGGGCTCCCGTTGCCACCCTCTGCGGGATGCTCCAAAGGGAAGCTGCATCCCACAGTGCTGCTGCTGCTGGGGGCACTGGCACGGCTGTTTTGGGGGAGCTGTGCTGCACCCCAGCTCTGCTCTGCCCCTTCCCCAGCCCTGTCTGGGGAATACATGAATGTTCTTTCATAAAATCGTGGAATCACGGAACAGTTTGGGTTGGAAGGGACCTTAAAGTCCATTTTGTTCCACCCCCTGCCATGGGCAGGGACACCTCCCGCTAGATCCAAGCCCCATCCAACCTGGCCTTGGACACTTCCAGGAGTGGGATATCCCCAAATTCTCTGGGCAAGCTGTGCCAGGGCCTCACCACCCTCACAGGGAAGGATTTCCATGAGCACACAGCTGGGCTGGCAGCAGATTTTTCAAGGGGCAGATGAAAGAAAGGAAAAAGCCACTTTATAAAAACCCAACCAGCTCCCTTGTGCTTCCAAAATCTTCCACCTTAAATCCCAAAATCTGAGCATGTGGGCTTTTACTGATTGAAAAGAAAACATAAAATACTGAGTGATCCCTGAGATGTGCCCTGGACGGGAACTTTAGAGCTGGGAAGGGCTCGAGGGGACAGGGAGGGGCCTGGGGATGCCAGGGGGCTGTTGGTTGGGGTAGGGGAGGAAGTAATAGAGGGTTTTGGGGGGCTCAGGGGACACGGGGTGTTTAGGAATGGGGTGTTTGGAGCCGTGTGTTGTGTGGGGCGAGGGAGTTCAGGGGGGCTGTGGGTGCAGGGATGGGTATGTGGGGTTTGGGATGTGTGATGGGGTGCAGGGGGGGTGGGGTGCAGGATGGGGGTACGGTGGGTGGGTGGGTGGGGCTGTGGGGTTGGTGCGTGACATGTGTGGGGTGCAGGGTCGGGGGGGTGTGAATGGGGGGCACAGAACAAGGGGATATGGAAGGGACTGGGACAGGGACGGGGACAGGGAGATGAGCAGAGCCAGGGAGAGGGACAGACGCAGGGTGAGGGACACGGGAGGAGGCGGCGGGGTCTGGGGAAAGGCGATCTGCAAAACCCGGGGGACGGAGAGGAGAGGAGAGCAGGAGGAGGAGGAGGAGGAGTAGAGGAGGAGGAGGAAGTCGGGGCTGAGCCGCTTCCTGTAGGCAGCGGGATGAGCGCAGACAAAGCTGGGTGGGGACTCGCCGCTCGGGGCTGCTGCTGACCACCCTCCTCCTCCTCCGGCCGCATCCCTCCGGCCCTCCCTCCTCCATCCATCCCTCCCTCCATCCATCCCTCCATCCCTCACAGACGTCCATCCCTCCATCCCTCCGTCCGTCCGTCCCGCCGCCGCCGCCGCCCGCCCCGCGGGGCACCACCGCCCGTCTCCAGGTACCGCCGGGCACACGGGGGGAGCCGGGGCTGGGGGCACTGGGAGCACTGGGAGCACTGGGAAGGCTGGCACTGGCCGCACTGGCGCACGGTGGGGCTGGGCAGGGCGGTCCCCACCCCCGCCACCCGCTGTCACTGACCCCCGTGGGGACCGAACCGCTCCCAAATCAGCAGAAAATCCCCCCAAATCCCGCAGGATGCCAATCCCCGCATCCCCCCCAGCCCCACGGGGACCCCACACTCTCAGGGGGCCACGGGAGACGCGGGGGTCCCACCCCGGCGGGGGCTGGGAGCCGGGAAGGTGCCTTGTACAGGGAGTTCAGTCTCCCAACAAAGGTTGGATTTAGAGGGTTTGATCCTCCTTAATCAACTGATTTGCCATCACAGGGAAGGCTTTTTCTGTGGATGAATGAGACGTAGTGTTCTTTCTTTCCCTATTTTTTTTTAATCATGGGAAGGAACGGGGAGACTTTCCCAACCCCAAATCCCTGCAGCAGCCTCAGCTGGGATGGGTCTGCCCCAGCCTGGCTTGGAGGGGTTGGGGGGGCGATGTCCATGCAGGTGGAGGGGCATCCATCCTGCCATCCCTACGGCAGGATGCCCACCATTTCTGTCAAAATCCTAATTTTTCCCAGCAGTGGTTTGAGGGGCTTTCGGTGAAGGAACCCCGGGAAAATCGCCGGGAAGATGCGCTCAGGGAAACCTGGTCCAGGGCTTGCTTCCCCCAGTGGGAGGGGAATCCAGCAAAAAAATGGCAAGAGGGGAGATTTGGATTAGGTATCAGGAGAAGATCCTTCCCTGTGAGGGCGGGGAGGCCCTGGCACAGGTTGCCCAGAGAAGCTGTGGCTGCCCCTGGATCCCTGGAAGTGTTCAAAGCCAGTTTGGATGAGGTTTGGAGCAACCTGGGCTAGTGGAAGGTGTCCCTGCCCATGGCAGGGTGGGGTGGAATGAGGTGATATTTAAGGTCCCTTCCAACCCAAACCGTTCTGTGATTCCATGATTTTTGCCTCCTTGGTGGAGAATGATTTATATTTAAGGCAAACCTGGATGCACAGCGATACCCCTCCCATTAATCAATTGCTAATGAGTTACTAATGAACTTAAAGCACGGTACCCAAAGGGCAGTGGCTCGGAGCAGGAACGATCTGCCACTGCTGTTCCTGCTGCTTGCTGCAGGTTCTCTGTGTTCTTTCTTTCCCTATTTCCCTCTGGCCTCACCAGCAATCCCGTGCTCCCTGGCCATGAGTGGGAAAAGGGGCAGGGACCGTGTGGATGCGGATGGCAGCAGCACATCCCCTGGCAGCAGGCTGGAGCCAGGCACTGAGGATTTTTCCTTATAACTGGATTTCCCTGAATGCAACTGGAGCATGCGATTTTAATCCTCTTTCCTACCATATGGCCGCTGGCTGGATTGAAATATGACTCAATTAATTATTGCCAGGAAAGCCCCGGGGCGAAGCCTTTCTCCAGGAGGAGGTTTGGAGGTGCTCCCGGGGTTATAATGGGGCTTTTCTCACCCCGTGCCGTGGGATACAGGGGCACGTGGCTCAGCCCCATCCTGCCCCAGCTTCCTTGGCACTGGTTTTGGGGCTTTTTTTGGCATTTTCAGCCTTGCAAGAGGAAGCAGAGATGCTGCTTGATGCTGTTCACACGATGTGCTGCCGGCTGTGACATGAGTTTGGCAGCCTCAGCATCACCTGGATAACACCTGGAGTCAGCCTTGTCCCCAAAACGGGGTATTCCCAGCTTGGGAGGACCTGTGGATCCCCCCACCATTGACATGGTGCCTCCACATGCCCGTCATCTCTCCCAAATTCCCTGGGAGGTGCCAGCTTTGCTCCCAGTGGATAATATACCAGCATTAAGGATCTCATGGTGTTTTCTCCAGGCTCCTTGCAGTTGTGAGCTGGTGGTGGCCTCTGGGGCACATTTTGGATCTGAGGGAGATGATAACCAGGGCATAGGGATTATCAAGGCCAGGAGCAGACAATCCTGATAGAATTCCCATGGATAGATGGCTGCGAGCTGGTGACAGAGCTCTATTATTATTATTATTATTATTATTATTATTATTATTAATCCTCAAACCATCCTGCTGCTTTGCCACCCAGTGCCAACGTGGCAGCAGGAGGAAAATGCAATAAAAAGGCGACTTTGCCGGGGTGGGCAGTGCCATCCCACGTGGCAGCCCCGCAGATGCTCCCCCTGGGATTCCAGAGCTTTGGCCTGGGAACGGCGGTGGCCGAGGCACCACTTCTCCTCCTGAAACCCAGTGAGTCACCAAAGGAGGACAGCCAGGCACCGGCACAGGCTGTTACCATAGTAATTAGGGCTGGAGAGACGGTGCTGGAGCCCCACAGACCCCGCCTGTGTCCCCAAAAAGTGCTGCCCGGGGGTGTCCATGCCGCTCCATCCCACGAATCGGTGCCGGGATGCTCTGGGCTGGCTCGCCCGTGACACGTGTGGTGCCACCGGGGACCACGGGGCTGCACCTCCTGCTCCCTCCTGCTGGATTGACCCACTTTGGGTTGGGAATAAGGGGTTCACTGCAGGAAAAGCACCATTTTCGGCACGAGTTGCATCGGTTCTCAGAGGGGCTTCTCCAAGCGTTTCACTCCTGCACCCGGAGCGGGATGCGGGAGCGGGATATGTCCGTGTGCGTTCACAGCCAGCACAGAAACAGGAGGAATGAGCAAAGGGATTAGGGTGGGTTTTCAGTTTTTCCTGCTTTTCAGGCTATTTTCTCTCTGTTTCTCCCTCTCTGGTTTCTCGCTCAGCCCCTTTTTGGGGTCGCAGCAGCTGCTGGGAGGAGGGATGGGGGGAAAGGCAGCAGGATGTGATACCCCATGATGCAGGACAGGAAATTTTTACACTTGCCCTTGCTCGGTTTTATTCCCTGCTCACTCCCAGCGCGGCCTCAGCCCCTCCTCATGTGCATTTTTCCTTCTCCGTGCCACATGCACGGTGCAAATTCCCCCAAAACCTGCCCCTCTAAAGCACGGGAGCAGTGTTGCACCCCCAAAATCCTGGGGAGAACAGCAAGAGGAGGCTCCTGGTTCTGCTGCTCTTGGGGAAGCGCGTGATGGCTGCGGAGAACACGGGCTGTCATTCCCAGCCCTCCGCACACACTTGGCACGAGACGTTTGGCACTCGCCCCATGGAAAAGCAGGTCTGAGCTGGGGAGAAGGACGGGCTCCAGCTGCCAGGAGGACACGGATTTGGCTCCATGGGGAAGTTGGGCTTGCTCCAAAACCCATCTGAAGTGTCTGGGATGGTGTCTGTCGAGCGTGGACTTTGGGTCAGGCCAGTGATTAATTAATGGTGTCTTTGATTAGAGACGTGCAAGCGAATCGCCGGCGCTTGGCGGGCTGGGAGGCAGTGGGAGCTGGGTGTTGGATCAGAGGAACACAGAATCACAGGATGGCTTGGGTTGGAAGGGACCTGAAGGACCATCTGGGATGAGTGAGGATGCAGCCGTGCTGAGGCTGAAGTCTAAAATCACTCATCTCCTGCGTTTCATGTCGAAATGACGGACTTCAAACACCAAACCAAATTTTTCACAGGCTCAGTGGGAAAAAACCCCTCTGAAATGGCATCATACCAAACCTTAAAAAATCAGCAACTTGCAGTTGAGACAGCCTCGATAATTCCTGGGAAGCAGCTGTGCCAGGACCTGCTTATCCTACCCAACACCATTAGTTTTCACCTTATTTCGTCCTTCCCTTGCTTTTCACACAAAAGTTTTCTTCCCCTGTTGTCCATTGTCATCATAACTCGGGTTAATTATTTTATCCCAGGGAAGGTCCAGGTGTTGCTGGATTGTGGTCAGAGGGTCCTGGCACCACAGGGAGGTTTCTGGTGGTGGGAAATGCTTTCCTCCAGCATCCACAGGCCCTCTGAGCTGCGGGTTGGTTATTTCAGGGGTGCTGCTGTGCCCCCCAAAGGGCTGTTCCTGGCACAGCCGGGCACCCTGGAGTCATGGATAAGCTCCTTTGGCTGAGTTGGTGTCTCGGTTTAACAGGTTTATCATCCTGCCCTCACTTGCTCTCCCGAGCTCTCTTCATCCTGTGATGATCCCTACAAGTGGCTCTCTTGGCTGGAAGGGTCCTGGCTGGGCAGCTGGGTTAGTGAGAGGGAATGACTTAGGTGGGAAGGAGCAGCCTTGTCCGAGCCTTGAGATCCTGAGCATCAGTGCTCCTTCCTGGTCCTCGTGAAATCTGTCCAAAGGGAAAAACATCCCTGGCAGAGCATGGGATATTCCCACTGCAAACTCCTCTGCGTTGCTGGTTTTACCCCACGCCGGGCTGCTCGGCATCCTTCCTCCTTCTGCCTGCAGCATCCTCCGACCAGGGCGGATAAATCACAGATCCAAAGCCTGGCTGCTGCCTTCTGGAGCTGCCTGTGCCCATCCCTGCAGGCAGAGCTGCCTGTACCCATCCCAGGGAAAGAGCTGCCTGTGCCCATCCCCAGGGAAAGAGCTGCCTGTGTCTGTCCCTGCAGGCAAAGCTGCCTGTGCCCATCCCACAGGTAGAGCTGCCTGTGCCCATCCCCATGGGCAGAGCTGCCTGTACCCATCCCCAGGGAAAGAGCTGCCTGTGTCCATCCTTGCAGGCAGAGCTGCCTATTCAGATCCCTGCAGGCAGAGCTGCCTGTGCCCATCCCCATAGAAAGAGCTGCCTGTGCTCATCCCTGCAGGCAGAGCTGCCTGTGTCCATCCCCATGGGCAGAGCTGCCTGTGCCCATCCCCAGGGAAAGAGCTGCCTGTGTCCATCACCAGGGAAGGAGCTGCCTGTGTCCATCCCTGCAGGCAAAGCTGCCTGTGCCCATCCCCAGGGAAAGAGCTGCCCATGTCCATCCTTGCAGGCAGAGCTGCCTATTCAGATCCCTGCTGGCAGTGCTGCCTGTGCCCATCCCCATAGAAAGAGCTGCCTATTCAGATCCCTGCAGGCAGAGCTGCCTGTGCCCATCCCACAGGTAGAGCTGCCTGTGTCCATCCCCAT